ATTCTGGTACCGGTTGATTCTTAGTTCATCTGTCCAAAGAACGACTGTTCCAGAACTGGGCTGGCTCCTTTAGATGTTTTTGGGCAAAGTCTTAATCTGGCCTTTCTATTTTTGAAGGCTGATTAGAGGTTTGCACCCTTGTGGTGAACCTCTGTATTTGCTCTCATGAAGTCTTCTCTTTATGGTAGACTTAGATACTGATACACCTACTTCCTGAGAGTGTTGTTGGGTGGATGATGTGAAGGGTGTTTTCTTCACCCATAGAAGAGGATCCTTGCGATCATCCACCCACTGTTGTTTTACGTGGACGTCCAGGCCTTTTTGAGTTCCTGAGCTCACCAGTGCGCTCTTTTTTTCTCCAGGATGTACCAAACTGTTTGATTTGGCCACCCCTACTTTTTGGGCATTTTTTGAGCACTTTTTTATTTTTTGTTTGCATCCTGACTGGAGAGAGAGCCTCCATACCGGAGGAGCTGAAGAGGAAACGGCGAGGCTGCAGAGCGGGGGTTAAACGGGAGGATGAAGAAGAGGAGGTTTTAAACTCTTCATCCTGGCAGTTCATCACTGGAAACAAACGTGGCTACACGAGCATATACCGGACTCCAACGTCACCATTTCCGGCTTCCAGATGGTTCGAGCCGACAGAGACAGCACCGCGCCCGGCAAGAAGAAAGGAGGTGACTGCCGTGCTCTTAAAACAACTGGTGGTGTAACCCGGGCACGTCTGTGTGAAAGAGGTCTGCAGCCCGGACATGTTATCTGCCATGGGAACCTTTCCAGTGTTATCGCCATCCACTGTTTATATTCCCTCCATCTGGGAAGCAGAAGCAGCGTGTGACGTCATCCACACTTGTGACTGCAGGACTACAAACGAAACACCCGGAGGCCTTTCATCATCATCACAGGGGACTTCAATCACATTTCTCTCCCTCGTCTACACTCCCAAACCTTCCACCAAGTTTTGTCACATGCACCCACCAGAGGACCAATAAGACTTGGACCTGCTGCATGCAAATGTTTCCTGTTTTTTTTTATATCTGTAGCCTATTTATTTCACTCACAATGTTGCTGTGACAAGGGAATTTCCCATTGTGGGATTAATAAAGCTATCCTATCTATCCTATCTATCTACTATCTATCTATCTATCTATCTTCTATCTATCTACATCTATCTATCTATCTATCTATCCCATTTTGCAGCCTAAGGATGGTTGGTTTCACCTTCCACTTGAGAGCTCCTTTGACCACATATTGTGGGTTCACAGCAACAGCTTCAAATGCAAATTCCACACCTGGAATCAACTCCAGACCTTTTACCTGCTTAAGTGATGATGTGTTAATGACGGACTAGCCATGCAGCCAATGAAATAGCTTTGGAGTATGGGTCCAATTACCCTTTGGTCCCTTGAGGCGGCTACATATTAAAGAGCTGTAATTCCTAACCTTCCTCCAATCTGGATTGTGAATACCCTCAAATTAAAGCTGAAGAGTCTGCACTTTAAGCCATATTGATTATATAACTATCTTATCTTGAATGTTTTAGTAAACAGCTAAAATAACAGAACTTGTGTCAGTGTCCAAATATATATGGACCTAACTGTATATAATGTCAGAGCTTGTGTGTTAAAATAGTGTGTCCTGTTTTTCTTCTTCTTTTTTTCCTCCTGTCCAGTTGAGTCTGAGGGATAATGATCTGATTTCGCTGCCTAAGGAGATAGGGGAGTTGGCTCACCTCAAAGAGCTTCACATCCAGGGAAACAGACTGACTGTCTTGCCCCCTGAACTTGGTACTGACCACACATACACTTACTGTATAAGCTAATCACACAAACTCACATGAATCTTGAAGGAGTCCAGTCAAAATCCAAAACACCTACCTAATATCTATTAAAACCTAGGGCCACACTCTGTGCTAGATGAAAATAATCAACTATGTAGGTTCAAATTTCAGAGGTTCAAAGATTTATTTGACACATATTTTCAGTATGTGCACATGCAAGGGTAGCATACTCCACCCTTTTTCAATCAATTCAGTTTTATTTGCATAGCACCAAATAACAGAATAGAACATAACAGAAGTTATCTCAGGACACTTTTCAAATAGAAAAGGTCTAAACCATAATGAAATGAAATAATGAAACCATATGAAATTATTTATAGAGACCTAACAATTCCCACCATTAGTAAATACTTGGTGACAGTGGCAAGGAAAGATTTCCTTTTAACAGGCAGAAACCTCAAGCAGACCCTGGCTCTAGGTGGGCAGCCATGGAATATCATACAAAATATAATTTATTTAATATTATAATAATAAGATATACTTACTTACAACTATAAGCCTTATCACAGATAATAGTTTTTTTTAATCCATTGTGAACCATTAACCTTTGGACCAAGCACATCACGTTTAGTCTGTAACTCCCAGACAGCAATATGAGGAGGGACAATGGGCCTGGTATCTTCTTAGAAGTAAGGATTTAGAACAGAGACATTCTTTGAGTGTCTAGAAAAGCACTTATAAATAAAATGTATTATTATTTTTATTATTATTATAGATTTATCAGAAATCATTTTCAAATCATTTTCCCATTTGAAGTAAAATAGAAGATAAAGCAGGGTATGCTTTATGCGACCTTGTGATTGAAGTCATTGAGTCTGTCCAGCATGATGCACAAAACTCATATCAAATATGAATCAAGATTCTGTTACTGCATAGTTTAATTCTCTCCTCAAATCTTATAAACATATTTTAGTGTGCTGTTTATCTGTAATATGAGAACTTGTCTGATCAGGGCAGCTGCAGTATTACACACGTGATGAATGTGATCAGTTCTATTGTATGTTTGTGTGTTTCTCTGTCTCCAGGTAATCTGGATCTGACTGGTCCAAAACAGGTGTTCAAAGCAGAGAATAATCCCTGGGTTACTCCCATTGCAGACCAGTTTCAGCTGGGTGTCTCTCATGTTTTTGAGTATGTTCGCTCAGAGACCTACAAGTAGTAAGTAATAACACTTTTTCATTGAAAAAATATTTTTATTAATAAATATTGGGGACTTGCAACCCTGACTGATTTCTACTGATCAAATAATACATTTTAAATAAACACATTTTTTACCTGTAAATCATTATTTACTGTATTTTTGCTAATCAATCAGTTGATTGAATAACTGGGGGTGTAATGTGTGTGATGTTTAATGTCCGATACTGTGTAAGTGTAATGTACAAATGTGTGTGTGCTAGAGGACAATTTAAGTCCAAGCAGTCTTCTCTCTAATAGAGGAGAAAGTGTTGGAGGTTGCACTGTGAAGCAGAAGGCTGCTATTAATTCTTTGTTCCAGGCAGAAGGAGATGCCGCAAATCCTCTGTGTGTATGCTTCAAACTGCTGCTCTGAGGCATGCTCTGGAACTGATCCCTGCACTGTGTGACTGTGTGTGAGTGAGACAAAAAGACCACGGTCTCAAACATATTCCATTCAATGTTATGTTTGCGTGTGTGTGTGGACATTTTTCCAGATAGTGCTGTTATTCAGACTCATAGTGGCAGATATAAATATACAGCAGCTGACAGTGCACTAGGCCCATTTTGAACTCATCAAAATTGAATAATTATAATAATAATATATTGCAACCAATCACTCTTTGGATCCGAATCTACATTTCAGAAATGAATGCTGGTATAAAGTATCACAGATTCTTGTTGGATGTATATACAACAAATATATACAACCCTGTGTTGTAAAAAGAAGCAATAGCTCACGAGATGCTGTGATATGGTGTGGTTCGGCCCCACACAACCTGTGGGTCATTGTGATTCTTTGTATGTTCATTGAAGGCCAGTGTTGCAAACTAAGTCCATCTGTGTTGATGGTGAAGGATGTGGGTTTGAGCTGCCGATTGTCCTTTTTTCCCCTGCGTCTGAAGTGTAGCTGAATGTCAAACCACACTCTGTTTACTAGCCCCTCGAGAGTGTTAGGATCCAGCACCTTCTTAATCGCTTTGAAATCATCCTCTGATATTGAAACACAATGAACCGTCATGTCGAGTCCTTTTTTTCTAAGGGATTTCACAACGCTGGTGAATATATTGTTGCCGTTGTAACTGCTGTAATGGTTAAGTCCAGCATGGAAACCAGCATATCTTCTCAAGCCATTGAGCTATAGTTTCTGACAGTGACATAGAAATCTCACAAAATTTAATTCACCCGCTCCTTTTGCTTGTCTTACGGTCTACAACTACACCTTTATTCTTACACCAGTTTTGTTCTTACCAGCCTATTTTGTTTGCTTAATGTTTTTTTTTTGTCCAGGTTGTGGACCTCCTCTTTACATATATTTGCATGTCATATGTTTGGTTCAGCAGGTGACTTTGTGTGTTGGTGTTTTTCCTCTGGAGATATACACTTCTCAATCCACTCATCCATAGTTATGGAGGTCAAAGTTGACCTTAAATGTTTTCATTTTGCACCAGTTAGTTAGACCTACATTTTTTCCTCAAGTGGAGTTATACCAAGTTGTAACAAGTAATTAGATGTCATAGCTGTTATATAAAGTTATTTTACTACTGTAAGGAACAAATAAGATCCCTTAATTCGAGCTATCCATTTTATAATAATAAATAAATTCACCTTGTACAGATCATAATTCACCAGATGGGTGACCTAAAGTGTTAAACTAATTGCCCTCTAGAGAAAAAATGAAATTTGCCTGAAACATTCACACATTAGGACTCAAAAGCTGGGACATCTCTGTGCCACCTGTTCACTGTGTTAGATTTAGTGGCTCTGTTTGCACAATATGGCAGAGATGGAATATAATATTCATTATATTCATTATGAATATTGTTTTGTTTTCATTTGTGTACAGACACCTGAAAATACAATCATTGTGTATCATTACCTTGGAATGAGAGAGGGAGAAACTCTGCTCCACTAGTGGAGAGGGGATCACTTCAGCTCTTTTCCATACACATTTGGCACTTGGCACACTAGCCCAGTGAAACAGGTATTTGCATCTCCATTACAACAAGGCTACCCACTTGAAGGTGTGTATTTACAAGCAGAGAGAGTTGTAATGGTCGAGGTACCTCAAGATTGAGTGAAGATAGGGACCGACGTTACGGAGAACAAAGCAGGAATCAAATAATATGTAGACTTTAAGAATAAAAACAAGTCAACAGTCTGTTAATCAATCATCAATAATACACTTACATATTTTACAAAAAACAAAGACATTTTTTAATAACTAAAAGCAAGAATTATAGCCTACATAAGTTATTTACCTAGAACATTGAGAAACTATTGAGCAACTACAAATAATATAGACTAGTTGGTAATTAAATGAAAAGATTCTGTTATTTGAATTCATTGTATGTTATTCTGTTGACAACAGTAGCTTGTTGGGCTTGTCTGTGCATATGTTATTAATTATTAATGACAATTTGGTAGTGCTCTAAAATACACAGTATGTTCAGTGCAGCATTCTATTACTGTGTCTGTGGCTGAGTGAGTTATATTGATGCTGAATTAAGAAGAAGCCGGTCGACAAACATGTAACATGTTTTCTCATGACTGTCCAAACACAAGGTAACTGTAGTAAGTATGATAAAGTTGTCTGACATTGACTGCAGTTATTAGTCTTATTAATGGATTAATAATGTGTGTATTGATTGCTAAGCCTAGCTGATCAGGATGATTATCAGCTAATTGTACAGTTTCTAACAGCGGTATGCTATCAATGGTTGCCTTTGTGCCCGTTTTTACATGATGTGATTGATATTAATGGTGTTATTACTAGCTTCTGAAGAACTATAGTTTCAAAACCAGTCGGACTGGTTGTAAAAGATCTTGTAGTGTGTGACCTCCTGTTGCTGATCAGTCACGTAATGTGAAATCCACAACGACTTCAAGACTCCAGAGATCTCACAACTTTTGTAGTGTCTTGTAGTGTGACCAAGGCTTCAGAGAATCAGAGAAAATGCCTGTCTCTCTGGTCTCCTGTACAGACATGAGTTGAGTCTCTGAACACACGCTTATTTGAGGGGGAGAAGGGGCGGTCATGGGTTGGCCATTGTCGGTGAGACCTCACAGCAGGCCGCAGTTACCTTAGCCAAAAAGCATGGCATTTATATATGTGTATACACTGATCAGCCAAAACATTAT